CAACTTCCCAGTCTAGTTTTCTTCCAGGCTATTCATATTTTTATTTGTGATTAGTGAGTTCCGAACAGCAATGCAATTTTCCAATCCAGCTCTCTTCCTTATCTTCGCCAGTTGGTCGCCCTGTGCTTTCTCGGCAGCTATCTCTACTTCCACTCGAGCCAAATGGTTGAGCTCGTATTTCCGAATCCAAGCCTAGTCTCGACCCTCTCTCTACTGATCACCTCCACTTATATTATCTGAGGTAAAGAACTAGTTTGAAACAGAATCGATACTTGGATGTCCGAACGAATGGGCTTTATCACCGGGCAAAAACCACTACAATTCCAGCCTCTGCACCTGTCAAAGTGCATAGCTCACTTGCTTTTTTAAAAACTCCAGATCGGCGTTTAGAAGGTTGCTCTCTGTCTCTATCTTTTGCATAGGGATCTTGTGACGGTCAAGCTTTCGACAGGATGAAGATTCAGCTTGATCTCGAGGTGTGGTTATAGCGTCAAAGATGAACAAGAAGGCGGATTTGTAAGAGCTTAGACAATAAGACAACAAACAAAATAAATATGCATTAGTAATATTTTAGGTATAATTTTATTTACGGATGTCGTTATATTTATACTAGTTTAAACTTTCTTGATTACTTTTTTTATCCTAGGAAAAGTCTATCGATTTCCTAATTCCACTTTTTATTTATGCAAAATTTTTTTCTTAATTACAATTTTTTTGGAAGAGGATCAAACGCTGAAAGAAATAATTTCATAACATAGCTGAATGGGTAAAAGTTAGTGATGTTAATTTATATTGTTAAATTATGTAATTAATATAATTATGTATAATTAAATTTTAGTTATTCAGCATGGTGCTAAAATTACTTTTTCAGCACTAGATCCATGTTGATTTTTTTTGTTTCTAGGAAAAGTGAATTGCTATCCTAATTCCACTTTTTATTTATGCGAAACGTATCATGTAAATAACCAATCTTATTAGATATAGTTAATAAATTTTGGATAATTGTTGTTTTTCTAATATTTAACATAAGATATTAGGGAGTTGCTAATACGTGATATGGTGTGATAGAGTGAGCTTTTTATTCTCTGTTCTATTTTTATTTTTTAATTTACCTTCTTTTCTTTTTTCTTTTTTTTTTTTTGTAGAAAATTTAAATCTATCGTTCTGTTACGTATGAAATTTAGAATTAGATTAAAAAGCCCAGGTTAAAAGGAAAAATGGGCCTACAATTGAGTTGGTCGAACTGATCGAGGGCCATTGCGGGAAAATCAGGTGAAATAGACGTATTTTTAAGGAAATAGCAGGTCGGAAGGTCTGTAGATCGGAAAGTCCGCAGATCTGAAAGTCCGTAGATCGGAAGGTCCGCAAGTCGGAAGGTCCGCAGGTCGGAAGGTCCGTAGATCGGAAAGTCCGCAGATCTGAAAGTCCGCAGCAGGTCGGAAGGTCCGCAGGTCGGAAAGTCCGAAGGTCGGAAGGTCCGCAGGTCGGTTGGTCAGTGAGTTGGACGATGTGTAAGTCGGATGGTCTATAAGTCGGGAGGTTTGCGGCTGGACCAACAAGTCGGATGGTCTGTAAGTCGGGAGGTTTGCGGCTGGACCAACAAGTCGGATGGTCTGTAAGTCCGGAGGTTTGCGGCTGGACCAATAAGTCGGGTGGTTTGCAAGTCGGAAGGTTTGCGGCTGGACCAACAGGGCGTAAGGTCTGCGGTTGGTCCAAAAAGACGGAAGGTTTGCGGTCGGACCAACAGCGCGGAAGGCTTGCGGTCGGTCCAAGAAGTCGGAAGATTCATGGTTGGATAGGCAAATCGGTTAGTGTGGAAGTCGGATACTGTTGAGAGCGAGTGAGAGTAATAGTTTGGTCGGCTGAGGGCACGTGTCCGCAGAAGAAGAGTTAGCAGACGATTGAAAAAAGGCGTTGTAACCGTTCGGGCGACGGTTTCTAGTACCGTTTCTGAAAAGTATTTAAGGATTGGGACTTGCAACTGACAGAGGATCTTCAATCATCTTCAAACGACATCAAAGTCAAGAGATTCGGGGATCATCATTTAAATTTCCAGTATTTTAATTTCCAATTAATTTTCTGTACCGTACAGTGTTTAAAGATTTCTAATCTCAGGCGCTAAATATATCAAATTCGAAGATAATTTCCTATTTTCGGATTTTACTTGTTATTGTTGAAAAATATACATAAAAAAATTGGCGACCACAGTGGGAGAAAGGCAAGATTGCTGATCCTACATCAACAGAGAATTTCATACGACTGAGGTCTAGCCGAATCATCAAAAAAATCAGTATGCCAGGCTCACAACCTCAATCATCATCAGCACCGGCGGAAGAAAATGTTTCACCACCCGTCATGCCAAATCCAGGGGAGATTCCCCAACCACCTACCGATTTGTTGGCTTATATTCAACAATTGAACAATCAGCAAACTTCGGCGATGCAAAATATGTTGCGCGAGCAACAAAATCTGATGCAGAACATGTTAGACCAAGCTTTATCAAGGGTTACTCTTCAACCCACTCAGACGCCACCAGGGATATCGCCATCAAGAATGCAAGCAAATTTTGCAGGGCCATCATACGTCGACATCACACTTCTAAGCGCCACGACGTTCAACCGAACAGATAGGGGAAAGACTCCTTTAACTTTCCCTAATAATGTGCCTTTGGGACCAAGAGTTGACAATTTGCAACCAAACGTTGTCAAGGAGGAGAGGCAAGGAGCACATATGCAAGATCCATCTTCATCCCTGATCAATAGCACCCTTGTGTGGACCCTGAAGAGATTGCGCAAGTTTTGAGAGTGCATTTCGGCCTGAATCCTCAAATGGCCAACCGCCCTGCATATCAAAGGCCTTTCCCCGAAAGGATCATCAACGATTATCCACTGCCAAGGAATTATCGACCACCTGATTTCCATGCTTTTTCAGGGGAAGATGGATCCTCCACCATTGAGCATGTGGGTCGCTTTACAGCACAGTTAGGGGAAGTTGGAAATAATCCTTTTTATAAACTGCAATTATTTGGGTTATGTCTCACCAGAACAGCGTTCTCATGGTTTGTAAGCCTGCCACCCGGGCAAATACAAACTTGGGAAGGGTTGGAAATGGCGTTCCATGCTAGATTCTTCAATCCTTTACCAATTGTTTCTCCTACCGATTTATTGGAATTGAAACAATATCCAGAAGAGTCAGCTTCATAGTTTATTGAAAAGGTGCGTTTGATGAAAGGACGTTGTCCTACTGTAATCAATGAAAAAAAAATGACCAACTTAGTGGTCAGGAACATGCACGGCCGCCTAAGAGAGGCACTCACTGCTCATGATGTGGAAGATTTGGCAAGTCTTGCTTCCAAGGCTGGACGTTTAGAGTCTCTTTTTAGAGAAAAGGATCAGAATTTCAGACGTAATAAAGTTCAGCATATGGCAAGTATGGAAACAAAGGCATACGACTTTGATTATGATCAAACAGAAGAGATGGCATCCGAACTAATTTCAGGGAAGCCTTATGTGTGCTCTAAGTTAAAGCCAGTACCAGGAACTGAAGGAAAAGAGCAACCTACCTTTGACAATTCAAAGGCCGATGAGATTTTTGACATTTTGTTATCTGATGGTCAGATCCGAATTCCAAAGGGGCAAAGGTTGGGTACTAAGGAAGAAATCAAAGGGAGGCCGTACTGTAAGTGGCATAACTCTTTCACACAAAATAGAAGCCAATGCACTCATTTTCGAAATGAGTTCCAAATCAGTTAGTCAACCGTGGAGGAAACGATCGGACATTCTATAAAAGCGCTTAATAAGATTATGTTTGCTTGCAAAGTTATCACTCAATTTTTACTATTTATACAAAATAAAAATCTCTATAAAAAAATATCAAATTAAATATTTATTTTTTATATTAAAATAAAGATTAATTTCACACCAACTTATTTATATTACATTTAAAAAAGGGTAAACTATTTTTCTATTCACGTATGTGACCCCCTTTATTATTTTAGATCTTTGAGTGGACTATGTCTGAAAATAGTCTCGTAAGTAAAATTTTGTTGCTAAAATGGTCTTCCGGCGCCGAACTCCCCACACTAGCCCGCCGCTGCTGACGTGGCGCTGATGCGGCTGACATATCATCACTACATAGATGCCACATCAGCAACACATGGAAGTAAAATTATTATTATTAGGATTTTAAATGGACTCTGTCTGAAAATAATTCTGCAAGTAAAATTTTTTTGCTAAAATGGTCCTCCGACGTGGCATCTACGTGGCGACGACATGTCAGCGGCGTCAGCGCCACATCAACAACGGTGGGCCAGTGTGGCGAGTCCGGCACATAAAATTTTACTTTTTTTACCATTTTGGTTTGTCCCACTTAAAAGTACATTTTCTTTATTTTAGAAAAAATAATAATACACTAATATCAAAATACCCTTAATATTTAGTTAAATTACAAACATATATCATTGCACATACAATTATTTTGTACATAAAGTCAAATAGTGAATATGTCAAAATCACTCTCACATGTCCGCTACCTAATAAAATATTATTATTTTTTAATATATGATAAAACCCCAAAATGCCCCATTGGATTGGGACGGAAGGGCTCATTGAATCTCACAAAATCAGCCGGTAAGAGATTTAGACATTTTTGTATTTAAGATTCTTATTCAATTAAGAAAATATCAACAATGGTACTTTGAATATCAATTAAGCAAGAAAAAGTTTGGTTAACAGAGTTAACTATAATTAATTTATTGGATAAACTCAATAGTCACTCTAATTTAAATTTTTTTATTTTTATTTAATAGGCTATTGACGTAATATTTTAAATAGAAGATACATCCCCCAAAGTTTGTCAAATGGAAGAATTCAGTATGGCCCATATCAGGATTACTTGTGTGAGTGTGTTTAGGGTTTATATATATAGAAAGATACCTTATAGCATAGGGATGGCATGATGATCAATTAATTTATTGATGGGAAGGAAGAAGAACAATTGCATGGAAGAAAGCCACAAACTGTATATACATACATACGTACATAGATACATACAACAAGAGTTGTGAATAAAAGTCCACTCAACGGGATATATCGATCCACTAACCCAGTTCCTACTATACTCATGATCAAATTAAAAATTGCTAATAATAATCTTACGCACAGAGACTACACTAGACTAGACTAGACTAGACAAGATTAGGCTAAGGTGGTCTCCACCCAGACAGACACTCGATTAAATATCATAGTAATTAATAATATTATGAAAAGGTGAAGAATAAAAGTGATCGCACCCCACGGTTGGCATTGGAATTGGAATTGGAATTGGATTTGGATTTGGAGCTGAGTGGTGTTGCATCTTGATCAACTTGTTGTGTTCATGATCGTGATCGTGATCGTGATCGTGATCGTGATCATGATCATGGATGGACCACAGTGAATAATCATTATCATCATGATCATCATCATGGCTCCATGGTTGGGGTTGGGGTAGGGGTAGGGGTATGGCCTCCAGCTGGGATGATAACTCAAGCTCGTTCCACACCTCATCCATCATCCTCTTGCTAATTTCATCCAATTCATGAATTTGCTGCTTCTCTTTCTCTTTGTCTGATGATGGACACCCCCCCATGATCACCATCATTTCATCTGTCGTCCTGCTCTTTGTCAGCTGGCCGGAGGTCTCGATTTCGTCATTAGATTCGGGGGAGGAGGACGAGTATGATAATGATGTTGTTGACCACGATGACGAAGATGATGAGGATGAATTAGAATTAGATGAGGAGGTGTTGTTGCTGTTGTTCTTTTTCCTCGTCTCTTGAGCCTTCTTTCTCATGAGGGTCCTCCAGTAGTTCTTGATCTCGTTGTCCGTACGGCCTGGGAGCTTCTGGGCTATCTTGGACCATCTATCATTACAATTACAATTGTCATCATACATAGATCATATTATAATATATCGACATATGATATATGATATGATATGATATGATACCTATTGCCCCATTTGGAGTGAAGGTGGAGGACGAGACGCTCCTCGTGGGGAGTCATCTTGCCCCGTTTGAGGCCCGGGTGCAAGTAGTTCACCCACCTTAGCCGGCAACTCTTTCCCGATCTCTTCAACCCTGCAATCTCATCATTCTATTTTCATTTTCTTCACATAAGCAAACCTAACCAACAACCATACTCACATCCATATTCATATGATTCATGCATGCTAATTAACTAACTAAACTATAACTCATGGTAGTGTAACTATGTATACGATCAGGGAAGGTTACGCTACTGAATTTGAAAAATCAGCATACATAAAATACAGAAATACGAGAGTATGTCATATGCTAAAATCAAATATTTTATATGCTGTGCGAAACTATATCATGTGTTGTTAAATCATGTATTGTATTTGTATTATAATAATATATACTGTGTGTTGTCCGTAGTAACACCGTGCGCTTTCCGATAGCACACGCTATGCTATTCAGCATAGTGCTGAATTTTTACATTCAGCACTGTAGCCGCCGCCATACGATGGATGATCGATCCATGATGCATGACTAGTACTAGTACATATGTGTGTATATATATATATATGGTGTTTTCGATGTTATATATATATATATATATTAATAGATGAATAGATCGATAGATAGATATAGTAGTAGTAGTAGTACCTATGAAGAGAGTCTCCCGCCAACCGTCAAACCTGAGAGTTTGGCGATGTAATCCCATCGGCGATCCCCAAACAAGTTCACGTATAACGTCAGCTGACCGTCTTCCTGTTCAGTCCATGGACCTTTTCGAACTTCCAACTCCATCTCCATCTTCATCTTCATCTTCATCTTCATTTTCATACTCTTTACAAACAAACCCTTATCTTTCTCTCTCTGTATATGTTGATGGTGTATGATCGATCTTTCCCTTCTTGCTCCTCTTTTTCTTTTCCTCCTCAACTAAGTAATTGTATATTGAGGGACAACTTAGTAGATGCCTGCACATGTGTATATATATATATATATATATATACATACAGCAGAAAGATATCTTCTTCAACTTCAATGATAGTAAGGTAGGGTAGGATAAGGTATACATGCCTTTTTCTTTTCACCACTTATTGGTGTTTTCTTCATTTCAATTAAATAAAATACTGTAAAATAAAATAGATTTCTTTCTTTCTCGACTCTTCTTTGCTTATTCATCAATCACTGTTTAATGGGGTGGTACAATCCAATTAGTGCTTCTCTTTTATTAACATTTACCTTAGAAGAATAGTATTATTTTATTTTTTATTTATTTTAATAACGTGTTAACCCGCGTTCTAATAAACTCTCGGCCGAACCTAATAGTTTGCAACCTAGGCTCGATAAAACAAGTTACACTAAGTGAACCATACGTAGGAGGCAAGATGAGGAATAAGGAGTGTGAAATATCTTAATATTGACTTGAAATTATGTGTTAGATTTGAATTTTTTAAAAATATATATATATATATATATTGATTTGATATTTTGAGATGAATAATACTCTTTTCGTAATTTCTATTTAATCATTTTAGTCTATCTAAATCAAAATATTTTATTTTTTTTAAAAAAAAAAATAACTCTCGCCTAACTATCAAGATACTCTTACTTTTTATCTTTCATATTATTTTTACTTTAATGTCAATAGTAAAATAAATATACAGTACTCTATTATATTATACATTTATAAAATACTAATTTACCTTAATTCACCCTCAAAAATCATATAAAAAATTTACTTTTAAAAGTATTAATTTTAATTTAAAATCACAACCAAACACTTTATATATGCAAAACATACTCTGACTTAATTTGTTTGTGACTTGAATATTTATTGGTAGCTGGATTAGAGATTTTGTATTTGGATATATTTGAACCTCAATATAATTTATCATAAATTATACTCCCTCCGTCCCAATATAAGTGTTATTTATCATTTTTGTCCGTCTCAAAACAATAGTCTTGTTTCCATAAATAACTATATTATCATAAAATTATCCCTACTTTTTTATTTTTATTACACAATTGCTACTACTTTTTACACTAATACACTCACAATGACAAAAAATTATTTTATGGATATTTTTCACCAACTACCAATATAATATCAATATTCTTTAAATCCTGTGTCCAACCCAATTAAAACTATATTTGTGGGACGGAGAGCATGTAATACAGAAAATACAATTCAAATAAATACAAATGCAAACGCTAATAATGTTTTTTTTTTTCTGTTTCTTTTTTTGTCTTTACTGTACGATTTTAAAAAATTTTATATAATTGAATAGTGTTTTTAATAAAATTTCACATTCAACTATTATTTTTTTATTAAATAAAATGATTTTTTATTCTTTTAGATATGAAAATTGGTTCAGTTGAATCAAGTTTGATTTATTTAGATTAGTTTAAATATTGATGATGGTGATGCAATCCATTATAAAGTGGCTCCCTTAGCTTTCCTCCTTTACTTATTTTGGCTTTTTATAAGTAGTGGTTGATATGTCCACGTAATTTTCACAACCGCCCATCCTTTTTTTTTTTTTAACCATTTATTATTTTTTTTTTAAATTTATATGTTAAAATTTCATTTAATTTATAAATATGTTAATGTTATGTTAAAATTTTAAATTGGTATATATTATCATGCAATTTGCCATATCGGAATGTATTAAAAATTGTTTTATGTGGATTCGAAATTTGATACGGCTCTAAGGGTTTTATTTTCTTTTTGCGTTATTATACTTAGAGATTGTTTGACAAAGAACTTTTGAAGAACTTTTAGTAAAACAGCTAATTTAGGTGTTTGGTAAATTAACTTTTTGGAATAGCTTCGGACCCAAAAAGTTAATTTTTGAAAAGGTTTGAAATAGTTTTTTTCAGTTTAAATTTTTTATTTTTTATTTATCCTTAAAAATTTATTATGCATTTTACGCAAATAAAATATATTTTGATTATCTATTAATTATATTAGATTATTTTATTATATTATAGTTTTACTTTTATAAATTTAAAATAATTAATTTTTATATATAAATTATTTTAATTATAAAATATATAAATTTATTAAAATTAACACAAAATATAAATATTAATAATTTATTTTTATATTAAAATTACATTATATAAATTTTATACTAAAAAAAATTAAATTTATTAAAAATTATAAATATAATGAACTAATCGACAGTTAACACAATAAATATATACATAAAAAAATTATTATTTTATATTTTACATCATTTTTAATAGAAAAAACTATTTATATTTTTCAATAAAAATATATTAATTTTTAAATCTAACTATAATAAAAAAAATTTATAACACTTTTACAATTTTCAATAACTAATAACAAAACATTCCAAACATTTTAAACTCAATTAGAGCACAATTGGAATATATTAGAAAAAATTAAAATAGAAATGTACTCAATTGTCATTTTAAGTATAAACAACTAATATCAAACAATTGTTTTACTAAACATCATAATACAAACAACTAATCGAATCAGCTAGTCAAATCAGCTAATTGAATCAGCTATCAGCTAATTGAATCAGCTAACAACTAATTGCAAAACACGCCCTTAATATTAAAATATTCTTATATTTGTATAATTTTTTTTCACAAATGTCATTATAATAATATTATAAGATACTAATAGATATATTTTTGCTCTTTTTTTCTTAATTTGTATTACGTTTTTATATAATAATTAATATTCAAATATCAACACACAAAAGTAACCGAAGAATGTAGTATTTTATTTAAGTATTAAATAGTATTGTGATTTGAAATTTTGTAAAATAAAACAATTTTGATTAATTTTAGAAGTAATTTGCAATATACTTTAGCAAAGAATAAATGTAATATATGAGTTTTTTCTTTTTGTTCCAACTCAATTTCACAATAATTTCAATATATACTACCCTTTTCTTAATACTTTTTCTAATTTTTATTATTATACCTTTTCCTCTTATGTGTATAATATATTCTTCCATTGATTAAAAAAAATAAAAAAAGAAACTTAAGATTATGTCCAAATAATTGGCCTTATAGTAATTTTTTTTTTTCTTTACAATATTGCTTTTCTGAATGGGAATATTCTATCATTGATTTAAAAGGGAATGATTATTTTATTACCTACTTGTACAATAAGAGAAAAAGAATCAGATCCTTCTTATATGTATATGCCTTTAATCTATTTGAAAAAATCTATCATTAACAATGGAATGATGTTAAAATAAAGAAATAAATTAGGTTTAAAAAAATAAAATGGAATGATGTTCACTTACAATATTTTTGGTTTAATTTTATTTAATTTTTAAACGAATTAAGATAAAGATGATATTTAGTGTGTATATACATGTAATATTTCAAATAAAAACAAGTACCTATGTCCCAAAACGTATAATCGGTTTTCATTTTTAGTCCGTCCAAGAACAGATTAGTCATTTATATTTTTAGTGAACTTATTTATATTAAATATATTTATCAAATATAAATCATTTTAACTAAATTTCTAACATTTTATACGGTAGATCCAATAAAAACTTCTTTATTTGTATATTTTTCAATATACAAATATTAGTATCTATATTTAAAAGCCTTCATTTTTATTTTATAAGACAAATTTAAGTTAATTATAAATAATTAAAATATTTTATTTATTTATTTGTATTATACACAATTTTATTATTTACAAAATAATATACATATGGTATATATTTCAATGAGATTCAATGCTAAAAATAATTAAAATGCATATTCTAATTTTTTCTTAATCATATATATTGATTCATATCTTAAAATATCAATAACACTATTTACATAAAAATAATCAAATAAAATTATAATATAATATTATTAATTTATTAATCTATACTACTTAAATAATCTTGTCCCAAACAAAATAGTCAAGTATTCTAAATAAGAGAGAGTAACAAATGAAATTGTAAGAGAGAGAGCTAAAACCATAGATGAACAAATGTGTGTTTAATACTTTATGACATACATTTTAGACCAATATACTCCCCTATTCTTGTATTCTTTTAGTATGGTTATTAAGAAAAGGTATATTAGAAAGTTAATTATTTTTTGTTTACTTAATGTGACAGCTGCAATAGAGTAAAATATATTTATTTATTTTATATTTTATGATTAAAATAAATATAAATAATTTCGCACAAATAAATTTTGTATTTGGACAAATAATTCATTAATTATTTGGACAAATAATTATGTTAGAAATTTTGGTGAAAAATAATGAGATTGTCTTCTTTATCATCAAAATAAGATAAGAGACCTATATATGGACAATACAAAACGGACTCGATAGACTCAAATCTAAATAATCTAATATATGAATAAGACCAAATTTAAATATAAATCTACTAAATCTAAAACTGAATATAGAAATTATTTCAACATCCCCTCAAACTCAAGTGGTATAACAGAAATCAATTTGAGTTTCATAAGAAAGTTGAATATAAACGCAAAACAAAAACACAAATAAAAATAATTGTTGACTTTCCATCAGAGCCGGAAACGAGTTGACTTTCCACCCCAGAGTAAAAAATGAGATGACTCCACCGGAGCCGAAAACGAGATTACTCCACCGGAGCCGAAAACGAGATGACTCTCCACCTGTGCCGAAAATGAGATGACTCCACCGGAGCTGAAAACGAGATGACTCCACCGGAACCGAAAATGAGATGACTCCACCGGAGCTAAAAACCACATGACTCCACCGGAGCCGAAAACGAGATGACTCAACCGCAACCGAAAACCACATGACTCCATCGGAGCAAAAAACACGAGATGACTCAATTGAAGCCGAAAATGACATGACTCCACTGGAGCCGAAAACAATATGACTCTACCAGAGCCGAAAACGAGATGACTCTACCGGAGCCGAAAACGAGATGACTCTACCGGAGCCGAAAACCACATGACTCCACCGGAGCCGAAAACGCGATTACTACACTGG